TATATATATATATATGTATATATATATGTAGTTAGTGAAATTGTTTTCATAATGCATATATGTAGATCCGGTTACACGAAGGTTGCAACATGTTTTTTATGGGTTTCGGAATGCACTCTACTTACCGAATGATAGGTTCTTATTTGTGGATCCATGAATACGAACCAATCGCTTGGTGAATTGTAGTTGAACTACAGGGAATTGCTCGATTTTAGTTGGTTAGTTTTTACATTCTGATCCGGTATAAATTTTCCGTAGAAACTAGGCTAATGTTATTAAGAGAACTTGGACTATTAGCGTTTTGAAATTATAAGCGACCGTGTAAATGAGGACAAAATGTGATTGAAAACGCCAATAAACGGTCAAAGATTTTAAAGGTTTCAAATAATACGATATATATTTTTTGTTGAATTGAAATTGTTAAGAGGATTTTAAAGCCTTCTGTTTTATTACTTAAGTAAGTATAATTTTTGTATAAGAAATACTTTTATTTTTTATTCGGTAATCTTTTGTCGGGATTAAAATATACGCATTAATACGTGTCTGGTAAAGTGGAGTCTATGCCGAGAACGATCAGAAAAATTTCAAAATAAAATATTTTTTATTATTTCTTAGTGTAAAATGGCGTTCCAATCATGGCTGTCAAGTCATGACAACACTTGCTTGATATAAAAGCTTTTCAACTGCTTTGTACGTACGAAATAGTAGTGTTCATACACCTAGTTTACACGAACAAACAACTTTGCTTTTTTAGAATTAGCTTTAGACGCTTTATCGCGACGAATTTGTTACAAAAAAATTGAATCACGGACGTGTTTTTGCGTATATCACAGGATGCGTGAAATATTGCTGAGGTAGTATATAAAAACATGTTGATGTGAGACGCGCGACGCGGTCTCTAAGTGCGTCAGAATTCGAACTTTGCTTTAGGATCTCCTTAAAATATGAATTTTTGGGTAGAGAATTTTCGAGAAGAGAGGACGAACTTGTTTAACTGCATAAACATATGCATAAAAAAATTATTTAATTACATTTTACGTCGAATTTTATAAGAGAAATGCTATTAGATAATTTTCTTAATGGATATACCCTAAGGCGTAAAAAATGTAACTAATCAGAATTCTTTATTTCGCAGTAGAAGAAAAAAACAAAGGATTTTGATTGGTACATTGCCTTCTGCATTATGTATTTGTGCTTCTCGTTTTACAGATTTTCTACAATAAGTTATTATCTAAGTTGTAATTTAGAAGAAAGTAACCAATCACATTTGAATGTAAGAAAAATAATAGATTATGATTAGTCAATTTTTTATGATTTAAGACTTAAAGCTTAGGTAATCACTTATTGTAGAAAGCCCGTTAGCCGACAGTGCTTTGTATAAAGCACAATGCATAGTGCATAAGAGAATCTATCATTCTAAATTTTTTTTTCTTTCATTTCTCAAAAAAGAAGAACTTTTAACGAATTCGATTGGACGCACTCAGTGCACACTGGTGCATATTAAAGCCGTCAAAAAGTAACGTCAAGGTATGTTTATACATTGACATAGAAATTGATTAAATCCTCAATATATTTGATTATACTATTACATAAAATGTGTATTTTATAATCCGAAATATTCGCATTTCACTTTTATATTCAAATTGGTATTGTTCTTAATGTTTGTATAAAGATTTTTTTAAATGAGACTTTTTCTTGAATCGAAGAAATTGGATTAATTTTATAAAATTTTCTTTTATTTGAGATATTTTTATAAAATTGAATTTGTGATAATATATCAATAGAACTTTTTATAAGATTACAAAAAGTATATTAAAAAAGTTTGAAAGTTTTCTTCCAAAAAATTTAAGACAACGTTGCTACTTTTTTTTTAAATTAATACATTACTATATTTTTAAATGTACGTCTGATACAAAATTAGAATTTTACGGCAGTAGTGTGTCAAGGGAATAATTAATAAACTTAATCTATAGGAACTCGCGCCTTCAGATAACAATAATTTCGTCGACGTTCTTTGAAGATCGCAAAAGAAAGTTCTTATTGACCTGTTGTTCGGATCCTGATGTATCTTTCTTAAAAACAGTGCCAATAAGGATCTCATTCTTGTTTCAGGTCCACTGTCGCAAATTTCAGTGAATGCCGAATGGTCAATCATATATAGTTTTCACTATATCGCCGAAATCGTGTATGCGAAGCAATAAATTTTATTGTTTTGAATGACCAAACGATTTTGAAGAGCGAAAGAATAACACTTGAGCAATATTTATAGTAATGCCGACAAAATTATTTTCAAATCTAAAATTTTTAGACACTTTAACGAAATTTTTTTTTTATCCGCACGCACAGCACGTGTCTGTTGTCTAATATTTGAGATGCAGATCTGTATGAGAATAGTTTGCAGAATCAGATATATAAATCTATAAGTATTTAAGCACTAACATCCGCTTTGACCGAATAAC